ATTTCATAAAATTTTCACACTGGAAACCACATTTCTGTGACTGGGAAGATGACTGGTGGTGAATATTTGTCAAAATCTACCCACTAAAAGAGAACACCAGTACTGCATGCTCCCTGGTCCTAAGTACAGCCATAGAGAGGAACCGTGAAGTGCGAGACTGAAGGGGTCGCTGGGATTAATCTGACATGAACTCATCTGTAAAAACAGGAATTAAGTAGCCATTTCATTAAAATTTGGGGTTATCTTCACACATTGTAAATAGGAAAGTTGATTAATAGCCTTAATGCATAGGGAAAAATAGATTTGAATGGCCATTTGGACATTGTGCATTGAGCAGAATCAGCCTCTGAGGCTTTGTTTAAATAACTATTCAGTTCAGTAATAAATAAATAAATGAGTATCTGTAGTTGATTAGCAGGTATGGTTAGATCAAGACTATAGTTGAAGGAATACAGAATATTCTTTTTAAGATGACACTGTCCTTTATTTGAAGGAAATAACTTCATTAATTTGTGCTAGTAAAATGTTGTCAAGTATGTGTGTATTGCAGTACTTTGTCAGAAGAGAGTTGGAATAGCATTCAGCACTGACTACAATTACCATGACCTCTTATTTCTATAGGACCCTAATTATTCCTAGGACTCATTATTTTAAATACATTTTAAAGTATATTTTTATCCCAAATGACTTTATTTTATTTTTCTACCTCCCTAAATACTTTAAGTATAGTGAAAGGGGAAAAAAAAAGCCCTGTTAATTCAACAGAAGTGTCTTGATAATTTTTCAACTTAACTACCAATTTCTCTTCTATCGGTATTAGTAAATTTAACAATTTTTTAAATATCCAGAGTGAACCAATTCTCTTTTGGTACTTAAATGAAAATTATTGAAAATAAAAGAAGGAAACAATAAATGCCATCTCAGTAAGCCAAATCCAAATTTGTTGAATTTAAACATTTCAATTCCACCAACCTCAAGGTTCTGATACAATGAACTAAAACAAAAACAAAAAGAAACCTTGCTTTGAAAAGTATCATCACTTTAAATCTGGTAAAAATAAATAACTGCCTTTTTCCCTAGCTCTTTTCCTTTGCCTTATTCTGGCTCTCCCTGGTCCATTTCCCTTATTAATCTACATATTATTTACATATCATTTGATTAAGGAAGATTTAATGAAAAAGAAAAGAGTTTTATCTTGTCCGCCTGCTTATTTTGATAAAGAGGGTTTATCTTGTCTTCATGAAAATTCACTTTATCAACATCCAACCCTTGAGGAAAGTAACACTTTCTACCTGTGAAGATCAGCGAATGGGGTTAAACTTCTACAAGGCTGTATTTACCTATTTTTAATCTCCAATGATGTTTTCCCTATTGCTTAAAATACCTTTTCTCATGTTTTATTTTCTTTTTATCCTGTAGAGTAAGGGTAATTTGTGAGAAGGTAGGGAGGAATATGAGAGTAAATTAAAGCATTTTTATATACTCAAAGGAAACAGCATATGCCAGTCCTATGTATTAAATAAAGATCCGGTTTGTAATACAAGTGAATATACTGTTTACTGATGGTTAGGAAATACCAAGGTGGGGTATGAAAATGATTGTTTTAAAAATTACAAAATGGCTCCAAGTGCACAGGAATAAAATTAAGTTGCTCTCCTTAACAAATCCTACTTGAAATGGGTAAACCAATTATTTTAGAATATGCTATTGACTGCTATCAGGACATAATGACCCTTTGCTCAGCAATTAGCCACCCAGGAAGAAAGCAAGTCATAGTTTGGTAAATTAGCGCTGAATACTGGAACATGGAATCCACCAGAACCAAAGATTACTGACTGAGTAGTTTCTTATACCTAGATTACTTATATTCCCCCTTTTTTTTAATTCATGAGAAAAACTGAACTTTAGAACTCACAACTACATTACTTTGTTTATCTAATGATCAGTATTCTTGTCTGGCTTTACCTTCGTAAGTAATGTCTTCTTCCCTTCTGCTGATAGCATCAGATGGAGTATTGCTGCTTTGTTTAAGTCCTAATAATACTCCATTCATCACTTCTGTCTACTTTGGGTAGCAACTATTTTATAAATTAGACTATAGATAAACTTGTCAATATCCATCAGGAACTGAAATGTAAAACATAGTGTAATATCTCACCCTTTGCCCAGATTTAGAATAGATTGCTTCTGCCTTCACTAGCCATCATGGAAAAAAAAAAAAGACAGGAAAGTATAAACATACTGCTTTATCCAAGTCCTTACTGCTCTACATGCATCATCTCTACATGCCCAGCAAGGAAAACCAGGATACATCTTGTTTACCTTCATAAACAGCAAACCAGAACTAGCTCAAGACCAAAAGGGCAGAAAGCCGTCCTAAAAAGAGAATGGCAGCCTTTCCATCCAGTTGCCAAACCTTGACTGGGTTCTGCAGTTCAAATTGTGCCTTGTAACACCTGGATGCCCAGTTTAAAAGCTTTCTATTCAAAGTGTGACTGCCACCTTCCTCTACTATTTTTCCTCATCAGTATCGGCCCCCAGGAGGGTGTGTGTGAAGATCTGGTATCAAAGATGAGGGGAGCAGGGCTGAGACCATCCTTGTCCAAGGTGAAGGCAGAATGGTGAGAGGGACTTACCTGTTTTCCCTGTACGAATGTTGAAATGGAACTGGAGTGATAACAAAGTATCCCCTCTTGCACAGTTTCTTCCTTGTTTCTATTAAGAAAAGTGACTCCTCCTCTGCTTCCTGTGCCTGCCAGCTTGGAAATGTAGTAACTGTGCTCACATGCTGATTCGAAGTTTGTCCCTGGGTTTCATCTCACTAACATGCCCTTTCCCTTTCTTGGAGCTCACCAGCTCTGCTGAGAAGTCTGTCAGGTCTGCACTAAGAGCGAAATATTTCTCCACCCTCCCGGGTCTCAGGGCACCTAGACGGGAGCTGGTTGGCTGGTATATCGCTGACCACGGTGCTCCCACAGCGCCTCTGCCATCTACTCCTGACAAAAAGTTAGAGAGGAGAGCCAGAGGGTGAGGAACGAATGAACGCTTTTGAAGCCAAAGGGACTCAGCTGAAAGTAGACAACACACATCAGGGACTGATCCATGGGGCGTGTGTGTGTGTGTGTGTGTGTGTGTGTGTGTGTGTGTGTTTCCCTTTTCTCCCCTGAGAACGGGATTTTCCCCCTTCTCAGTTCAGCTCGGATCGTTTTGCTGTTTCAATGTTCTTGATTTTGAATAGCTATTCTGATGCACGGCCATGCGTGAAATGGATGATTTGCAAGCTCCCCTATCCCACGCAGTTCCGTGGATAATCTTATAACCAGATTCCGCACGGGCAAGGGAATCGTTCCTTTATAGAAAGTGACTGGCTTCCCGGGACCCAGGGAACTCACAGTGCTCGCTGTGGCAGCCGGCCGGGAGGAGGTGGGAACCCGGGTGCCGGTGCTCTGGCCTTGGTGCTGAATCAGGAACCCGCTGCCCAACCATCTCAGCGGCCCCTCGGCAACTTTGGGAGGTTTGATGGGGAATGGTCAGTTCTAGGCGCCCCCTTGCCCGCCGCAAGCAGGAAGCTGGGCGAAGTCTATGCCCTGAGACCCTCCGCAGGGTACGTGGCTGCCTTATTTCTTTGCTTGGAGCTGGGAAAGTTTTGTCCAACGTTTATTTGTTAACTGGAGCTGCCTTCTCCCCTCCCACCTGGGTCGCCATGGATACTTGAGCTCTTTCTCTCTTTCTCCAGGCAAAATGGGCGAAGCTTAGTTAGCTCAGCCCTGACTGTAGCAAGCCCCTTCTTCTTTCGAGGCAGCGCCTGAGCATCCCCCTCCTCCGTTTTTCAGCAGAAGAAAGATAGGCAGGGAACGGTGCTAGCGGAAATGTGGCATTGCACCCTGTTCTGTGGGGGTTGCTTGGGGCCACCAGACTTTGGATAAAGCCAGGCAGGAGACATACTAAACATATAATAAATCTCCAACTCCCAAACACTGGAGTTTTCTCTCCCCCTCCCCTTCCTTTTTTTTTTGGGAGTGGAGGCGGGATTCTTTGGAAAATTCTGGTATTTTTTTTTTCTCCACGAATCTCACCCCATTACTGTGGCTGTTTCTAGCAAGATGTGTTTCCTCCCTAAAAGTCTCTCCATATTGAACCTGACAAGAGATATACCTGTGGATTGACCCAAGATTTTATTGGGTTTTGGGAATACTGCTGTTATGTCTGTTAAAAACTGATCCAAGCTTAATGTCTTGATGCAAATGAAAATATAACCAGGGGGAAGCAAGCCAGCAGATTCATCCAACCCCCTAAATGCAATAAATACTTCATTTTATCAGAAAATTTTGTTTGTTTGTTTGTTTGTTTTTCTTTTCCAATTACAAAATAATTCAGTTCACTCTAGGGAGAGCTTCCTATCCACTGTTGATAGTCAATATCGCATCTCTGGTTATATTGACAAGGAGCAGTTAGGAGTTACTGCTTCCCGTTCTCGGCTTGTTTTTCCCCACCCCTCACTTTTTCTGTTCTTCCTTCTCATGTTCCTCTGTCTGTCTGTCTGTCTGTCTCTCTCTTTCTCCTCTATGCAAAGAAGAACAAGGATACAGCTTTCCACAAAGACAATGGGCTTTTCCCAACTGTAAATGACTACACTGCAAGCCACCCCTGTCAGTTAATCCGTGCATTTATCTTAGCCAACGGATGCTGAAACGCTGTCTGTAATAACTGACGGGGTTTCTTTGAGCCCAGAGCATGCAGACCCCTCCTCTCCCCGCCACCTCCCCTTGTGAGTTTTCAGTTGCTAATGAAAACCGTATGAAACAGATTTCCCTTCTGTTATGTAACCGGCTTCTCCCTCGCCTTTCCCTGGACTTGGGCATCCAGTTTCTCATCAGAGTGGAGATGCATGCAGCGGCGGCGGAGCCTGGGGAGGGGGAGGTGGGGACCTGAGGGCACAGAACCTCTTGCCCAGATTGATGCCAGCTTCTCGCCTTCGAGCAACTCCGCGCACCTCTTACCTTGCCGCGGACTGGGTGGCTTCATTCGATCATGATCTCCTCTCTTGGAATGGAGCAAGATTTAGTAATTCGCTACACGATGGATGGCGAAGGAAAAAAAAAAAAGCAAAGGAAAGAAAAACTGGAATCAGATGGTCAAATTTCACATCGGCCCCGGGAGGCTATTAGGAGACTCCATTCTCCTCGCTGTGCATCAAGCTCTGGGTCTCGCTTCCCGGTTCCCTCGCATCCCCACCCCTCCGCCAGCCCAGCCTCTCCGGCCAGGTGCGGCCGTCTTCAAAGGGGCTCCCTCTGGCCGAGAGCGGAGAGGAGGGCTGGGCGCGGGGGCCAACCGAGGGGCGGAGGGGTGTGCTCTGGGGCAGGGGCGGGGGAGGGAGACCGGGTGGAGGGAAGGGGGAAAAGGCAAGAGTGGCGGAAAAAAAAATCCCCGGCTGGGAGAAAAGTGATGGACCACGCAGGGAGACGTCATGAAAGCCGCAGATTCAAAGAATGCTACTCAGTTCCAGCCGACTGGCTGAGCCCGGCTGTCAGCGCACGAACCGACGCGGCTCCGGGGATAAAAGCGAGCGCAGCGCCGCGCGCTGGAGAAAAGCAGCCACACAGTACGTTCCGGAGGAGCAGTGGGCGGGGACCCGGAGGGATGGAGCGGGAGTCCTGGAGACGCCCACCCGCGTCCCATTATCTCCGTCATTGTCGCTCCGCGTGGACCAAGTTGGTAGATGGGGAGGTAGGGGGCACTCCTCCGACACCGACACCCCCTGCCCCCAACCCGAGTCGGCGCGGAAACAGCCAAGTCAAGCCCCACCCCTCCAATACGAAACGAAATGTGGGGCGCTCGGTGCCGGGGGGGGGGTAGATTTTGGGTTTAGCCTCGGGTTCCCACCTTTTCCCAGGTCGCTAAGTAAGTTATTCGCCTGGAAATGCCTGGAATGCAGGAAAGCTGAAACTCAGGGATCAGTTTTCGACTGCTGTTTGGAGGGATTCCTTCTTTAATATTTTGTGACAGAAGGAGAAAGAGGCTCTTGTCACTGTCTCCCTCTGGGTTGAAAGGGAGAGTGAGCCTGGGGCGCGGAAGCCTGAGCGCGCACTGTCCATGTGGCCGGGAGGGGGCGCAGCGAGTGGGCTGGGTGGGAGCGGAAGCGCCCTCCCCAGAGCTTCGCCCACCTCGACCCAGCCAGCTGCTCCATCCCATTTCATTCCGTCCACGGCAACTGGGAACCCGTCCCCGCTGCTGCTTCACCCGGGCCCCAACCCCGGTGTCTCTGTTCCGTGGCACTGGAGATAGAGAAAGGAACTGTGGATTATTTTATACAAAATCCAGATTGCCTTCGAAGTTGGCTTTATCAGACCCTGCCCAACTGTCTCCTCATTCTGATTTTTAAACTTGCTTTGTATTGTTCCAAGGAGCACCCCCACAGCGTTTCCCTCTGCCTCCCCTCTTTTTCTAACCATCTTCCCAAACCGTATTTCCACATCTCCAAAGCCATTCCACACAACTTGCTCCTTCCCTGTCCAGTTCACTCTTTTATGCCATCTTTTTCCTAGGGACACAGGGTGGACATCCAAACTGTGAGAGCAATGAATATCACTGGTGGATAATTCTGTGATGGCCCTTTCAGGAGCTGGCTATCCTTGTGCCATTCTGTAAAGGGGCTTTCCTTCCACAAGATACAGAGTCTCCAACTCCAAGAAGGGGACCTTATTCAAGAGCAAGTTCTGTTCAAGACCTCTTATTTCCAAGACTGTTTTGTTCTACATTCATGCATTGTAATTACACAGCAAGTCAGCCCTTCAAGAATGCTGTCTGCTGTCAAAGGATGCCTTTGCTAAGGACAGGGGTTTGCCTCAAATTTGCGCCATCAGTTACGTACAGATCAACCACATCCACAGCCCGTGAACTCAATTTTTTTGATCTTCCCTAAGGGGGTGTAATCTCACTTGCTGTTACTTCTAAGTCACATATCCCATATATGAAGATATCAGCGTGTGTAATATGTGATTTTTATGCTCCATAGTGCTTGCCAGGTCTAGTAATTTTGTCAGAGATAAAGATTGACAAAGGACAGCTGGACTCAACAATCTCTGAGGCATCCTGGAGTAAGGATGAGAGATGAAGGATTTTGGTGGAAACAGCCCCAGAACATTAAAAAAAAAAAAACTGCCATGGACGGCAGTCGTCTAAAGAGCATTCTGTACAGTCTGTGAAGCTGCTAAGGATATGTCTGTTAATTTTGATTATGTAGGTTTCAACCAGTGGAATGATTTCACAAATTTCTTTCTTACAAGACATCAGACTCAATAAGTAAGTCAAGAGAGAATAAAACCTATCTGTCTCCTTTGAACACTTTGAAAACTGCCCTAACGGGAAACAGCAGCCAGCGTGATGTGGGCTGTGGCTCTTACTGAATGGTGGGTAAGAGTTGGTGTTGAGTGACGTGGTTCACATATGCATGCCATGGGATTTGATTAACACCAGAGACAAGAACAATTGGCCTAAATGAATTCATTGATTCCTGAGAGAGCCCAGTGGTCAGCATGGATGTCCCCAGGAGTCTCGGTGACGTCAGAAAATCAGGCAAGATGTGCTTTGGAGCTGCCCACTGCAGCTCCTCTGAGCTCCCAGGAGCCCCATCTCTCGGGCTACGCTGTGTTCAGCATGTCTGGCATCTCACTGATATGTCTCTTTTATGATCTTAGGTCATAGGCAAGGGCTGGGGGGTGGGGCTTCCATCCTTTAGCGTGTTCAGTCTCTGTCTCTGGGGAGGTTAGGGCTCCAAAGCTGACAAAGACAGTGGCTTCTAGGATTGATTGATTCTTTTAAACAGATGGGACTGGGTTCTCCCCCACGTATTGAACGGGAATAGAAGCTTATTAGCTACCAAAAGTGATGAACTGAATTATCTTGACTGGGTGTCATTTGTTCCAGGTAATCTCGTTTTTCTCCACTATCAATTGTGGCAATTTAAAACCCAATCTATCTGCCTCGCCCACATGTAGCTCTGGCTCTGCTCTGGGCAAGTTGACATTAGAACCAGGGTGGTGGCTCCTTCTGGTCTGTCTTGCCTTTGCTTCTGTCTCCTTGTTTTACGTTTAAGAATTTAGGCTGTTGTGGAAACCAAGTTCCTCTTCCAGTTCACTTCCCCCACCCACCTCTCTTCAGCAAAAGAAAACAAAACAAACAAAAAACCCTACAAAAACCATCTTTAGGATAAAGAGATAGATGTATAATTTTAAAGTAACTTACTTGAACTAAAAAAGGACATCTTTAAGGGTATCAAGAAAGACACATTTAAAAAATATTCTATTCTGCAAGTCTACTTCCAATGGACTGGATGGATTTCATCCATGTTTCTTATTTGAGGAATATCTATAAAGAATTGCTGTATTTCCTTTTTAGATTTTAATTATAAATTTGGAGATATATTCTTAATAAATACCTCCGGGGAAAAATTCAGTACTTTTGCTAAGAAGGAGGTTTCAGATTTTTTTCGGCTCCACAGCATGGTGGGCATTTTAGTGCAGATCTATAGCATTTTTGTTCTCCAGTTAGTTATTACTTTCCCTTTTTCTTGGGGATACCTTTCATTTCCTACCCATTTTCCTTACTTTGGAATTCTTTTCACTATTCCTAATAACATTGGATTATGAGTGCTTATAAACATTTTGAAGTTATACGTTTTAATTTCTTTCCCTGACTTGATAAATGTGTGCACTCTGAAGACTCATTTGATAAAGTCTTTCTTGTAGAATGTTTTATTAGTTCATCATTCGGAAGGTATTATTCTTTTTAATCATGGTGTCCCCCCCAAGGAATCCATCAAAATGCAATTTAAAAAATCATAATAACTCCAGATATAATATTTCAAAAGGCCACAGGAGGTGATGATTACAAACAATTGCATAAATTAGTCTTCTTGTACCTCTTCCTGGAAATAATTTTAATTAACATGAAATCTGCACAGCAGAAACACTGAAGGCTTAAACAAAGGAAATGAATTTATAAGATGCTCTTTCTGCATTATTAACCATTTGCTAGGATGTCCAGATTCTTTGTTTCTTACTAGCATTCTTAATGGAGACTGTGAGTTGGAGAGACTGAAATGGAGTTCCTTCTTCTGTGTGGAACTGCGCCTGTCTGGGTCATCTCCTATCTTCACCCTGCACACCAGGCAGTAGTCAATGGTCCAGACTTTGTTTGCTTTCAGTAGAGGTAGAGATTTTGTCCAAAATTCTCAGGCTTCCTCAGCTCTCCCAAAGGAGCCTTATCAGCCTTCCTTCCTGGAGATACAATACAGAGTCCAATTTCAAATTCCAGATCAGCCTTGGTGATCTTAAGCAAGATTCATACACCTAAGCCACAGTGTCCATGCCAAGAGCTGGGTTTACCTGGGGATCTCCTGCTTTATTATTCTATCTGTAAAATGATGTTGCAGGTGTGTTCTTGGGGAAGCAGACTCTGAGATGGAATTTAGTGTGCTGGATATTTATAGAGACATTTCTAAGGGATGTTATGTCCATGGGATCAACATCTGTGGAAGGGAGAGGAAGGAAGTGTGAGTGGGCAGAGGGGGAATCAGTGCTGATGCCAGCCTTGGCTGATCCCACAGGGAGCTTTGAAGCTAAAATGGACCATTAGAGTTCTCTTGCATTGAGTCAAAAGAGCCCCTGCCTGACCACTTCTCAGGTGTGCGGTCTAGGCACTCTCCATTTGATGGCTAAAAGCTATCTGCTGACAGCCAGTGGCAGGAAGGCCAAGTCCTTTCTTGAAGGGGAATCTTGGTGACACATCTCCATGTCTACTGCAAATGGTGATGGTAACGTTACCTACTGCACCTGGTTTCTGTCACTACTATATGACATAATCCATATAAAAAGTGGAGCACAAGGTCTGGCATAGACTAATTGCTTAACAAATGTCAAATACTTATTAATGGATGATACTTATCACTTTTATGGTTAAGCAAACTCAGGATCATGTGTTTTCTAGTGGCTCCAGATTTCTGTCCACCCCGTTTCAAGTCCACTGGGACTTCAACCCCATTTCAAGTTCCCCTTCAGGCTCTAGTAAGATGCTGAATATGCTTCCTATTGTCTCTGACTAGTCAGTGAACCCAATCCCTGAATCAATTACCGTGACTGGACTTTCCACCCACGTCTGGTACCCTGACTCAGGAACAGGGCACAGTGGTTAATGTTCAGAAAGGGATTTAATAGCAGGGCAGAAGTCAGGATGCCCCTTTGCAGAGCAGGAGGAACCCAGGGTTCTGGCATCAACTGCTTTATCTTTAGTCTGAAAGGGAAGAGGTCTAGAGAGTAGTAAATACTCAGTAAATGTTATACAACCCTCTAATTACAACCCAAGGAAGTCTGCTTCTCTCTTTGTTGAAAACAGATAGTGGTAAGAATCACCTTGCTGTAGGCTCACAGGAGGCTTTGGTAACCATAGACAATGGGTTCACTTTCCTTTGCTGTAGCAATTCTCAAAACTCAGTGATTTATTTAATTAGCTCTTTCCTGCTATTTTTTTTTCTTTTGAACTAAAGTGGAAGAAACGGAATACAGAGTCAAAAAGTTCCAGAGTCTACAAGGGAAATAAGCTTCCCAGCCTGGAAAGTACAGTAAGGCTGCAATTTAACACTGAGATCCATGAAATTGATCGCTTGTGGCAGACAAAGAACAGATCTAATTTGCAGCCTCAAGTCCCTGCGCGGTTATCACTACTTGTATTTATTTGGGGACACAAAACC